ATATATATATATATATATATATATATATATATATATATATATATATATATATGCATAAAGTCTCAATTTTATTCATTATATTTACCAAGCAACAATGTCCCATGGCTTATTCTGTGTGTTGCTAGAATACATTGGAATCAATTGCATCGCGCGCTTATATTCGTGTCTATATTTCAGAAAATTCATCTCAGTTTCCTCGGAAACAACGAGTTCGATGTTACTAAACAAGTCCTTATCCGCTTTTCTTGTCCATATCGTTTCCATCATCTGTTGTTTCAACATAATATTTAGCTATCTTTCTTTATCTCGCTTATTGCGAACGTACCTTCATTTCAAAATCGGGTAATTCCTTTAAACTCTCAGAATTAACTTGGCACGACGTATCGCAATAACGTGGTTCTTTTGATGCATTATCTACCGACGAGATACAAACCAATCGCATGTTCTGTCCACTGTTCTGCATTTCACTCGTTGCCCTTTGAAAGCAACATACTTATTTTCATCTCTCAAAATTCTTTAAATATAAAATAAAAGCATCATGAAATATTTTTCATTATCATGAAATAGCTGAATCTAGTCGACTCACCTGTTTGTTTTCATATTTTTGCATTCGCAGTTTCTGTCTGTGGAAGAATGACACACATCACAGCCTGTGTTCATCTTGTTCTTCGTGTTCTTTGGCGACTGATATGCTTGTAGAAATTCCATCAATGTTTTTGTAGAGGATGTTGTCACTGGTCTTACCTCTGATCCAATTTGCTACATCGAAAATATATAGTATTTATAATAAACTGGATTATTATGATCATCAGAATTTATTGTAAAAAATTACTGTTTAAAGTATATTGCCCATTTTATTTTACCTTATTAGAAACAAAAGAAATGAAATCTGCTATGACTGGCACTAAATTAGACAAGTGCTCTTCGGTAATCATGGTCACCCTTTTTAACAGTTCGTCATCATTATTTGTAGAAGTAGTTTTAACAATGTTTTCTAAGGTTTCGGATTGTTCTAGATCTTGCAGCTTATCAGAAAATTGTCTCGACGTTTTTGGCACTCTCCTTGTGAGTGTTGCATTATCCTGACTTTCTTGTAGTTCGAAGTTGCTACCCTGTAAAATAGATATTGAATCTCAAGTAATGTGAAAATAATTTGTTAGATTATCATTAGTAATGATTATTTTACATTATCTGAATCCGTGAGTAACATCATATCCATCATAGTCTTTATATCCTCTTCTTTTGTATATGTTCTGTGCTTTCTAATTCCAGCTTCATTGGCATTCTCGTTTGGTACAAGCGTTACAGAGCTGGTATATGGCCGATCCACTAAAACGGGCTTATTGGAAACTTTCTTAATGTCTATCCTGTTATATTTTTTATCTTTCTGATGATAGTAATCTAAAGAGAAACGATATATAATGTATAGGTTGGAATCTTGCGAGAATAAATACTATATTTTCTAAGTTCAGGTAATTTTATATACTGGTTCTCCGTTTAAGATTGCTTTTAGGAACTTTAGTATCCGCACTGTACATGCTCAGCCGATTAGGCAACTGTTTGCGATTGATACGCTTCTTATTGCTCGCTGAGTGAGAAGTGAAGGACGCGATTGATGACGTTTTATTACTGTCAAGCAAAAGATCATTATCTGAATGCAGCTTTAACTTTAATAAAATGGCGTTACACTTTCTTTCAATATTCTTCCCCTGTAATCAGGAAACATACAAGTGATTGTAAATTTCTAATATTCCTTACACTATCTTTAAATTCAAGAAAATATAACAACTGTGAGGCTACAAAGTACATTAAGGATCTACATTAATAAGTGAAATTGTTACCAATGTTAGGATATCAGTGTCCCCTGAATCAAGATAATTTGTGTTTAAGTGGAGCCTATCGCACATAGTCTTCAGATCAACAACTACTTGAAGTATCTCCCTAAACTTGCCCGGATGTCCCTTGAGAATCGAGCTGGGAATGTGTCTGCAGTAAGCAACTAATGCATGCAGCAGCAACTGATGAGCAGCAAGTAATTTATGCTCAATAGCATGCATGTGAAGTCCTAGGCTTCTCTTATTCGGCTTCACTCTCGCTCGCGGCGAGATAACACACATATGCCTCTGGATGTCTTTGACATGTCTATTAAGATCGTATAAATAATTTCTGGAGAATCGCACGACAAATTCCGCCACACATTGCTGTCGCTTCTGCAGATCCTTAATGCCGTCCGGCACCGGAATATTTTCTAATCGAAGCGCAATCTCGTCCAGCAGCTCGCAGACCTTCTTTTGCATCACTAGAATCTTATGCATAATAAATGGATCAGGTCGTACGTAAATCACTCCGTCTGCATCATCTCGACGTGTACTGATCTCAGGACTGGAGTTATAATCAATGCCATTTGTTATGTGGAGCAGCTGCTTTGATGAGGGTTCTCTTTTCTGTGCTACTATATGACTGGAGCAAGATTTTTTAGTGTATGATTTAAAATTCCTAGCCTCTTGTTTCTTGTGATAAGAAGAAATATTTTCTTCCTCAGGAATTGTCAGCAGTAGATTGGTGCTGCCTGTCCCAGTATCTCTCGTAAATGGCACTTTCTTTGGAGACTGATCCCTGATATTATTTACCTATTATTACATGAACTTTAGATATGTATTCAGTATATATTCTTGTGAGATCATATTTTTTTATAGGAAATTTTCTTACCTTTGATTTTCTTTTCTGATCATTTTCAGTTCTACCATGTTCCTTTTTTATTTCATCAGACCAAATATCTGTTTTTAGTCTTTCAAGTTCCTGATTTGCTCCTCTCATACTCTCATCCAACAGTTCTTTAATACTTTCGATAGATGGTTGAATACAATTTTTATTATATTCCAAATTATTTAACTCTTGTTGCTTGACAAAAGAGGCCCATACACTCTCCTCCTCCTCTCTGCACCTCTGTCTGCGTACATCCTTTACTATGTACTTAAACTGACTTGCAGGTATATACTTTAACAAAAGAAAATAAAATGAATACTCTCTAAAAGCAGCAGAAAAATATGATAGAAACACAATATGAAACATAAAGGTGAAATAATGTGACTTATATATGTCTCAAATCAAACAGAATCTACCTTAAAATTGTAGTCATCATTTTCGTCTTCGGAAAGAACTGAGTCTTCTGTTTTGTTATTGTTTAAATAGACAGATTCCGCGGTGCCCAAAAGAAGTGACATTTTTTCTTGGTTATGTCCGATATATCAAGGGGTCGTTTGTGATTACTCGCGCTCATTCACGTTCCCTCAACCGTGTCATAAACGAGGGAGGTATCAAAAAGGCAGCAGGTATAATTTTATAAAATAGAGATACTGAGGCACGCTCCCCCTTAAATACGACGAATGAACATGAGCATAAGTTTCTTCTCTCGGATCGGACTGAAATTAGTAATGTAAAATCGATATATTTTTTCCTTATCGGATTTTCAAAAATAATTCGAGTTTGTTCCCAAATGACTATGCATCGATCTTCGTGATGAAATATTCCACGAAACCTAAGCTGATTTAGTTCGAACTCTATAAGGAACAAGAACAAATTAATAATAAGCTTTCATTACATCTCGGGGTTACTAAAGCTTTTAAATACGTTATAAAATATACACGTGCGAACCTGAACTCTATCAGCTCGTTTTCGATCGTGATTTGCATTTTAATTCGGGCCACGAGCTAGAATCGTGCACCAGATCTAAAATGCAATTAAATCGCACGGAAATAGCAATGATAATAATAACCTCCGTTGCGATGACCACAGAACGAAAAGTAAATATTAAGGTAAGGGTTGTTTTTTTTATTGCGATCTCTGTTTGGAAGCGACAGCGGTACCGACGATATCATCGGAAAAGGCGTGGGCGCGGCTGTGCGTGTTCGGATCAATACTCCCGCGACCAACGTTCGTAAACGCTGGGTTTACTTGTGACGAACGGGCTGCGTCGTCAACCGATGGTTCTCATCGTGCGTTTGCTTGCCGACTCTTTCGCTCTTTCGCATATCGCACTTTTGCTGATGCAGAACCACCGCACGGCTTTACTCTTTCTCCGCCTCTTTTCATCTCTTTCCATATATATCTTCCTTTTCCTCCCTGTGTATCGTTTCGATTAATTTCAGGATTAATTTAGGCGTGACTGACTCACCGTGTTAGCAGTCACGTTGGGGTTGTTTCTTAGGTTGAGAACGTAGCGTGAAGAAATGGCGACGATGGGTAGCGAAAAAGAGCGCGAACGTAGATGTAAAATCACTGTTGAGATTGTTAATGATTTTCTTTAATAATACAAAAGCTCAGGTAGAAAATTAAATTTCACATTGAACGGTTAATTTCGAAGTGACCTTCGTCGCGATAGCAGAGTGGACCGTTGTTACAGAGAATCTCGTAGAAATAATTCCGATCTCAAAGTTCGAAATACATCATGTCGGAACGTTGTCGACCAATCGACGTGTGCAACGGTGTGACGTCATTATGCGCGCGCAGGACGTTCTCATTCAACCTTCGGATTTCGCTACTCTCGCGATTTACTTCGCTTTTCGTCTCACGAACTCTCAGCAAGCATAAATACATCCGGTAAGACACTTTTCGTCCTGTGTGAATTCATTTTCTCTAACATCTTGACGCGTACTTAACGATTCGTAAACAACGTATCAACGTATTCGTCCCGTTGTCAATTTTTCTTGCTATCGTTTCGGATGGAGCAGGGTTAAAAGACTCGCTTACATGGCGTTACAAGACTCAAAGGAAGTATTTTCGAAATCAGCAATTTTTAGTTATTGACTTTGGGACTGTCATATGAGGGAAACGTGATAGCTGTTACATTTACATCAGCACGTTCGATCTAAAAATAAGTCCTCGCACAGTGATCGAATTTATAAGATTAATGTTATTGAATTTTTCTTCATCTTTGTTTTCCCTTTTTTGTCATTTTATGAACCTTAAAACGCTTATAAAGTCATTTTTTTAGGAAACGGAGTAATTTATGATTCTTAAATGTCAAGTGGGATTGTCTTGCGATGAGATATATATGAAAATTCCCAGAATTATGAATCATGCACATTAAGAAATATTGCATTTTTTCCTAGGTTGTCAACAGTAGAGCGCATAAACATTGAGAAAGTTTCATTTTCATTAACAAGCTAATGTGAAGCTGTGTGATTGCATTGATGTGTGGTTTGAATGTGAAACATTTTCTACACCAATAGTGAGCATAATAGACTGTAACAAATCAACGCAAAATAATTAGAAGTTTATACAATTGATATTGACTGATATCTCTTCAATATGACATCTAAAGTGTTAATGAAACTACCAACAGTGCCCTTTCCTCAAGTGAGTAAATCTCAACCAAGTACTAAGAAGCTAAATATAATTTGTATCATGTGCGGTGCATAATATATCACATAATGATTATATTTTTTATATTAGAGAGAAAGTTTTACATTTCCCACTATATAATTTGTTTATTTGTTCTCAAGGGTAAAAAGACGTCGCCTGATCTAGTTCCTTTGAGTGAAAGAACTGATGGACATGCACAAGTCAGACATCAAGGACTGAATATAGACCGAGCAGCTCAGCTCGAACAAAATATGAAGTTTCTACAGGAGCAACATCAGGCAACTTTGATTGCTTTACATCAGGAGGTAGAAGCCTTGCGCCAAAGAAATAGAGGTAAGAGATATATTTAATAATTATAGTTGTTTTTTCTTGGACTTTGTATGTATTTCTAATCTGTTTTATAAATGCTTACAGATTTACAATTTCAATTGGTATTTTCCAAAAGAGCACACTGTGTGCCTAGCAGTCCTTCTTCGCCTGAAGATAATGGAAATGGGTTTGCGAAATCAAAGGTACCAGTGACATCTTTTGCATAGTAATTTAATAATAATTGTTACGTGCATAGTAATTTAATAATAATTGTTTTCTCTCTTATTAAAATTTATCTGATAAATTATTTTCTTTACAAATTAAAACAATTATACTTACAGGGTAGCCCAATATGTGTTAATGTAACACCTCTGCAAGTGGAGCTTCTGGAGAAAGATTTACAAGACATTAAGACGTCACTACAAGAAGCAAAAACACATAACCATTACTTATCAAATATTATAGAACAGCAAAAAAAGTTAGTTATCTTATGTAGGAGAACACTATATGCCAACGATAAGCTAACTAACAGTCCCTCTTCTTGCAGGAGATTAGACATGACTGAAGACCAGAAGGGTAAACTCGAAGTTGCAGATGTGGGAATTCAAGTCGGCGATCCAGTACAAGCGAGTTTGGTCGTTCTTTTGGAAGAATCTTACGCGATGGTAAAACGGTTACATAAAGAAAATCTGGATCAGAAGAAAGAGATAGCTTCGTTGAGAGCAGCTTCTTCGGCAAACAACGGCGGCCCCAGCAGAGGTGGGCGTTCTCGCGACGGTAACAACAGTCATCACAGCCGTGGTTCACCCACGAGTTCAACGCAGGAACAGAGCTCTCGTAAATTTCCGCCGTTACCAATACCAAGCTACTGGCATCGCAGATCACCGAGGTATAGTTGACAAAGTTTTATCAGAAACGTTAAAATGGTCAACACGCCTTTCCAAACAACAAATTATTACATTAGTACCAATCTGTACCTGATTTGCTTATGAATTATAGATACAGTACGAGTCGACATGAAAAGCAGGATCACCAGGCGGATGCAGACACAACCGTTTTACCGCAACTCCAGAACGGCAGCGTAAAGTCGGAAGGCGCTAGTTGCGCCGAACCGCAGTCGTATCGATCATGCGAATACCGTAATTATTCTCGCGACGGTGGCAATCGCAAGTACAGAGGACAAGCGTCGCGAAGAGATAGCAATCACTATTATCACTCGCGCGACTTTAAAGACAGGAATTCGAAGGATCGTCCGAGAGACGCGGGCGACTCCGGCGAAGGATCAAAGGACGCCAATAATCCTCGGAGGCAATAGATCGTGAAAATATATCGTTACCGATTTGTTGAAATCGTGGACGACGGCGAGCTTTGGTTGTTCACGGGTTAAAAGCATCGGGGATTTCGATATCAGTTACATAAGAGTTACCGATAAATGAGTGATCGATGTTTTCTTGTACACATTCTGGTGCTGATTAATCACGTCAGTTTCGTGCATATTGTAGCTTGTAATAGGATAGCGACGATGAACGAGCATAAGCCGTACGATTTTCGATGGAACAATGTCTAGTCTGTATATCCAATTTACTCGTTATAGGCTGCCATAAAGAAATAATAGAGCTCGCGCTTTCGTAGATGGACGATTATCAATATTTAGCGAAAGACAAGACTTTGATAGACAAAGAGACCTTTTCCTTCCTATGGATGACGAATGACACGACCAAAGAACTCACTGAATACTAGCTTTCCCGACTGACGTTTGAATTAGACGGACTCGAGCTTAATACGCGTGCAGTATTTGAAAAAAATGCTGTCCATACATACATGTACGTGTATTAAATTTTTCTCGACGATGAAACATCGAAGAGACGATTCTAAGTGGAATCTAGTCATTTTCATGTATTCCATTATTAAAATGACAGATCGTTGAACGATCCTGCTATTATTAATATTAAATATAGATATAGAATACATATGTATATATTCTTATATTTTTTTATTGGTTTTACGTATTTCTATTTAGTCTATATCGTTGACGTATATTTTGTTGCACATTTAACATACATTATACTTCCAGAGAAGACGTGCGTTACTTGATTTTGATCTTCCAATGAGATGTACTAAATTTAATTTTTTTAATGAAAGTATGCACGATATGCTTCTTTGTTAAGTTTCTTTTCTAACTTTTGCTTTACATAATCTTGATTGAACGGATATTTAAAGGTCTTGTTTGCTTCGCGATCAAGAAGCATTAAGATTATATTTTTTTTCTACTTATAATAAATAAATAAAATCCCTAATTTTGAAACATAGAGAAACTCTACGTGGCATTATCAGACTTCTTCGTCTTAGGAATTCACAAATACTCCACGGAATGACGTGGGAGAAGTTCTCGCGCTATTAATCACAGATTACAATATAATATACAGGAATACTTTATAATTATATAAAATCTTGTACGCTTAAATGGATGAATCATTAAAATCATACGATACCATATAAAAACTGTTATGTAATCTATTCTTCAGAAGACCTCTTTCGATATTATAATAAACGTTTCATTCATCTGTCCGTGTAAAATAAAACAATTCTCTTTTTCGAAAAAGTTTATTATAAAATATATTATACCTTAGTTAAGTACATATCCAACACTACGTACGTGAACAACTCTGTATATATATAATTTTTTATGTATGTATACAACAACTACAAACACGGTCGAGAAGATGCGAGCTGACCGTGCTAACATAAGAGAGTATGCGGAAAACATGAAAGAATTACCCTGCAAATAGAGAGGAAGGATCTTCAGGGCGTCCTAAATGACGTATTTAACAGACTTCATGTTTTTCGTTAAGATTAAACAATATTACCAGTATGTGGAGGAACAACGCTGAACGACGCTTGAGCGTTGCAATATTTACATCCCTAAAGCGTACAGAGTACAACGAGTCATGAGCATGTGCAAGGATGTTTCTTGAGAAACGAGGAAAATCGCAAATTTCACGTTCATGCGTTACATTTGAGTGTGTCAAATAGTTGACATGTTATCACTCGCGATCCTGTAAGCTTTACGTTGACATCACAACCACAAACGTAAAATTAAGTGAAACAGATTTGCGTCGAAGGTAACGCAAATAAAAACGCATACGATCGATTATCAGTCTATTGAAAAATGAAGTTGTTTTAGTCGATAATGCAGTGACTGTATAGAACTTGATCTTGACTGTATTGTACACAGTTAATGGGGGCTGTACTTAAATCGCTAGGAAGAAAATTCATTAATATTGTTAAAAAAATTCATTAAAAGGATTTCTCGGTTTTGTCCGAAAGTCAAAAGTTGATATGCACAGGGGAGAGAAGCACATGAAACAATACTATCTCAAATATTCGGAAATATTGGTAAAAAAATGACAGAGAAAGAAAAGAACACGTTCTCCGCATGATAAAGTGCCTATACGCCTCACCCTGTATAGCCGACGTCTACCACCATACTCTCAATCTATGTACTTCGTTTAACGGTTTACAATTTCGATTTAGATGGCCCCAAAGTATCAGTCTTTCCGTCTGAATTTTGTTAATTTCACATTACGAGTAATTGAGCATACGACTGATGTCCGACGTGACTTATCGAAAAACTCTTGACTACTTATGTTTTGTGTGTCATTAGAATACGATTTACACGCAACGATCGGGAGAGCATTTCGTTCAATTACAATGCTGAGAGAGAGAGAGAGAGAGAGAGAGAGAGAGAGAGAGAGAGAGAGAGAGAGAGAGAGAGAGAAAAAGAGAGAAAGAGAAGGGTACGAAAGAAGCCACACTACGATACGTTAATCGTAACTCTGAGTAGAATATATCGTACAGTTATTAAGCCGCTCTATTTAATGTTTACAGACTTGAACTACGAAGCAAGATATAAAACTTGTACGTTTTCTAACAAGAGATCGTATATATTTGTATTAATTAATCTAGTGATTCCCTGCGCAGATTAATTGAACGAAACACTTCGTGTTATTCGATGATCAGCGTCTCATTTTCGTCTTAAAATGAAGTATTTCACACCTCTTACGCGTTAACTGTGTGTGTCCTATAATACTTCTTACACGCACACACACACACGCGCACGCACACACACACATACACACATACACACATATGGGGAGATTACATTGTTTGCTAAAACACTAAGAGACTCAGCTAGAGTCTCGTTCTTAACGGGAGAGATAAAATTTAAAACTGACCTAGAGCATTTGATTATCAAATTGCTATCGCTCGCTTCGATCAAGTGTTCTCGTTACACTTGCTCGTTTTAACATTCGTCTATCTCATCTCATCCATATTTATCTTCTACTTTGTGTATAATTCAAATATTCACACACGTGTCAGCTCAATTGAAAAGAAAGATGAGAAAGAAAAAAGACAACAAATCGCATCAACAAATAAATAGGAACCAGCCTATACGTTTTACACGTAAGGTATTAGAAATGATGGAAAATATAAAGAATCGTACGATACACGTCGTGACGTGCGATCAACGCGGGATTCGCAGCGATCTTACAGTCCTGAAGAAACATTGACTGAAAGGATATATATCATATACCTCCGTTCGTTATCGAAGTATAATGGGCGCCGGAAAGTGTTCCTCGGCTGTTCAGTCGTCGAGCTAACTACTTATAATCGCTAGACCATTAGTCTTCTTTTCTTGCCGTACGCTAACTTTACCACATTCGCGGTCTCCATCACAAGGGTGTCCAGTATAGCTACTGTGAGTCCGTTCTTCACCGCCAGCTCGTCGTGATGGAACTTGGTCCACTCATCCTCCTCGGCTTGGGCCTCCCTCGCCAACAGCTCGTCCACCCTGTCCCTGCGCTTTCTGCTCCAACGCATCACCATGTTCTCGCGCTGTAGCTTCGTCTTGAAGCCGAACAACGTCGCGACTTCCTTGCCAACGTGTTCGGTGAGTTCCTCGACAGTTTTCGGGATCTTCATAGTCGGCTTCGTCTTAACGTTCGGCTTTGTCCAGCTCGGGCCAGGCTTCTCGTATTCTGCACGATAAATCTCCGCGACGGTCTCCTTGCAGAGATCGAAGAGGAAGGTGTTGTAGATTCGTCTGTCCTTCCTCACGACCTCGTTCTTCTCCTTGGTCAGTTCGTAGATTTCAGAAGGTGCTTCAAGACTCACAACGTCTTCACCGGCTACCTTAGCGTTGTATATCAGAGCCGTGGCTTTCTCAGTGAATGATGTCAGCTCCTCAACGTTTGATGGAATCACCGCAGTCAACAGCGAGGGCGAGCCGAGCGAGGTTGACAACCGGCCGTCTTCGGGCGGAGTGTAAGGTGGTGGAGGTTTATTCGGTATCTCTCGAACATAGTAAGATACTTCCTCCGCTTCCAATTTCTTGATCTGAAAATGATAGCACATTAGATAAATGCGCAACAAAGATAATCATATTGTGTACGTATATATGTTACATACCTCCAATTCGATTTCCAGTTGTTCGATGCGGAGCAATTTAGCTTCCAACTCTGCCACCTCCAAACCGGGTTGCTCCAGTGAAGCTGTACGAAGTAGCGAGAAATATATCGATAAGTACGACAGAAGCTGTGAGATACAAGTTCCTCGGGAAAAGCAACACGAGTCTTCACATTACATCAGGGGTTAACAGTTTTACTTGAGTTGAGTGCTCGGAGAAAACTGGGGGGGAAAAGGAAAAAATAGGACAGACGTTAAGAAAGATAGATAGATAGATAGATAGATAGATAAATAAATAAATTATATATATATATATATGTATATATATATATACATGTGTGTATATATATATATATATATATATATATATATAT